CCCCCCCCCCAACTTTCGGTCTTGCAAACTGAAATCTATCGAAACATGCAGGATACAGCATTAAGGTGTGTCATATTTTCCTATCGCCTGTCACAACAACCAAAGGTAGGCCACGCATTCCAAATAACATCACCCTCCAAATACGAGATATTTCCGGAGACGTGCTGAACGGTGATCGGTGTAACCCCTTTTGCGGAGCGACCCACTGCCCTAAAATTCGTTCTTTATACGGGTACGATATTGTTCCATGTAAACAACGGCATGCTTCCCCCCACCAAACCTTTGATTGAAGGCGCTGGTCCCCACGACGACAAACGTTTAATGTTGGGAGTAGCAATGTGGGAAAGCTGCTGGCTGCTACTGCTACTGCTGCTGTATTGGGCACTTGGTGCAGACTCTTGCTCGAAGACTCCGACCTCTGGCGGCATCCGTCACCCCTCCCGACTCCACGCAGCGGACGATGACGTCGAGGTCGTACGTGGACCGCTTGAGACGCCGGCATACACCGCTGAGCCTAGGGCGCGCGGGGGGGGGGAGGGTGTACTCATAGTCGTGCATGCCGTAGTCGTTAGACCATTGACCTCGCATCCCTACAAAGCCGGGACGGAGCACGCCGGGTTCTCACCGGACCAGGCTCTCACATCACCAAGCGCGAAGCGCCGTGAGATCTTCGGCGAGTCGCATGAAGGGTGCGCTGCATCCTGCTAAGGGTGTTCGGCATCTTGTGCTTACTTCCTTGCATACGGATGACAGCTGCGCATGACTTGATTTATTTTCTGGTGCTTTCACTTCCAGAGACAGTTGTTAGCACTGTGTAACTGCCTCGAGGGTGCTTGACCATGTTGACAAAACGTGGTGCGATCATCCCCCTTGCGCAGAGTGAGGGTTCTCCACCCCGCACAACATGATCTACTCGACCACCATTATGGTTACCGCCAAAAAAAAAACAGAGGTGAAAAAAAAACACACGGAAACCTGGTTGCCGAGTTCACGAAGTGAGTTGGCTTGGTTTACAACGTCGTTGCCAAGCGACGAAAACCCAACCCCGATGGTCAACACCGGGGTGGGGGGGTGGGTGGGGGATAACAGCACAACAGCAGTGCCGGTCAATACTGCGCATGGCCCCCTTGAGGTGATGGGGTAATGAGGCGTCGTGTTGTTCTCGAGTAACTTTGGTGATTATTCCGCTTGAGCGTAAAACAATTCCGGTACTGGACTGCTATCCCCGGAGGGGAACCCATGAAATTGGCGTGGCGCTCTTGTGTGCCGTTTTCTGATGGCCCCTGTTCTTGTTGCGCCGTCAACTTTCGTGTGCTCGTGGACCCCGCCGCTGTCTCTTGGTCACCTTCGATCAAGCTGTGCACTGTAAGGCCCTATACTACTTGTCCATCCATCGTTACAACTATCTCCACACTTTTGATTGAAGTCTGCCGGCACAGGCTGATACAACCTCCATTGCGATCTTTTCCTATCACAAGAGCATCTCCATCCACAGATTTACTGGGAAGAACAGTCATGGTCATAGTTGAAGTGTTATCTTGCCAGCACGCGGCGAAACGACTACAACGTGGTATTTTTGTAGTCCTTACCGGCCTTTGTTGACGCCTGGCTGAGGAATACCGTGAATAGTCGGAGAGATGGCGCCCCCGTGTTCGCGTTTTTTCATGGCGTATTTCTCCACAACCAGGGGGGAACAGTACTAATCGACTTCGTAAGTCGCGAGGGAAGGGATTGCTGCACCCTTCTCGCGATAAAAATACCACAGGCAGGAACCACAGGAGGGGGTCCAGCCCCCCCCCTCCTATGTGACCCCGGTTGGGTCGTCTAGCCAGTAGAAGTGGAGGATGGGGGCCAGAGGGGCAGACGACAGAGTCCAATGATGGGAGAAAAAGAAAAAAAAAAAGTACCACTGCCGAAAAGGGTAGTTTTGGAAACATCTCGTCGAGAGCTTTCCTGACAGGTATCGGTTGGTGTTCGCACCCTCCTAGTTGTGGAGAAACACGCTATAAATAAACGCTAACACGGGGGTGCCATCTACCATCTCTCCGACTAACACGGTAAGCGGTTCGGAAACGGGGTAATGGGAGCCTGGTGTTGCACAGCTACATACACGGCAGTAGCCGGAAGACTGCAAACTTCATTGCTGTGACTCTGCAAGAGAGCACACTTCAGGAAGGAGGTCAACATAGGGCAAGGGTTACGGAATACGGAAGGCGGCAGTAGACTGGTACACAAGTTGAATCAAGAATAGTGCGGTAGTATCTGCATGCCTCGCCGGCCAATTCAAAAGCACAACGGAATTGTTTTGTACCATACGAAGTAGCACACATTTGTTGAATACGGAACGGGCGAAACGTAAGCACACCTGCCAAAGTCTTCAATGTTGAGAAACGGGAGGAACGTGTGGCGCAGGAAGCGGTCATCCTTGAGAAGAAGCCTCCGCATCTGCGCGTACGCCACCCCTCCATTTCCGGGCTCCCTTGAGCTGTTGCTGCTGCTGAAGCTCCTGCTCTGACGGCTGTGGCTCCTGCTTCTGACAGGTCGAACGCTCCGACCACTGATGTTGGTTGCCGCTCTAAGCTTCTCCTGTGCTTCTTCCAGCGCGAGGCGCAAGAGGGCGTTCTCGGCTTGCAGTAGCTCTATCTCGGATCCCTTGTTGCTATTCACCGGCGCAACGACGCTGCTGGCGACGCTGCTCGGGCTGCTGCTGCTGCTGCTGCTGTTCTCCAAGTCCTCCACTTGCACGAAAGTCTCACTGTTCGAAGTAGAAGTCGAAGTCGGTTTGTTCTCGTCTTGGGCGGCGGGCGAGGCGCCCTTACTTGGAAGAGGTGCGTTTCCAGCGATTTCGTCGGAGTTGCCATGATAGTCCTCCATCTTCTGTGATACACTACACTGGCAGCAGCAGCAGCGGCAGCAGCAGGAGCAAGAGAGCGGTGAGCGTGCGTCGTAGGTTTGTACGTTTGCAACGAGCAACGAGTAAGCACAAAGAGGCTCCCCGGATGTACTTCAATGTATAACCCGGTGCACTGTATGCAACCCACGGAGCTCTAGGCGAACGAACCAGCTCTCTTGTCTGTCTGGCGCTGTCTTGTACTATATCTGTGTCATTCACCCACGCAGCGGAAGATGGCCCCTTCCCGAAGAGCACGGCCCACGGGACCAATGAATCTCCTGGTGTTGCTTGCAGCTGTGGCAGCGGGCATTGTGTTGCAGCCTTCGGGCGTTGCCGCTGCGGACGAAGGCGTTCAGCAGGAGGCATTTCGCTGCGAGAGCGAGGAAGATTTGGACGGCTCGGCTTGCAGGGTCGACATGCTGCCAGACTCAGCGTTGGCGGAGATGGTTTACGAGAGGTAGGCAAGAGACGAGGGATTCGATGGTGCGTCGAGCCATTCCTGTTTGTGCGGTGAAGGCAACGAAAGACAACGGTAGGGAGGGCAGGTACACAACATGTAGACATGTTTCGTCGCTCGGCTGCGACCCTGCCAGAGGGTGCTTGCTGCAGCAACAGCAGTATCTGGCGGTTGTCGCGTTGCCACGATGCAGCCGCGCTTCCTGGGACTAGGCCGTGGGGGAAGTGCGTTCGGAAAAGCTTGAACTGGGCTCGGAAAGCTTGGTTTTGGGGGAGATGAACGGCGGTGGACCGTTGTTTATTCAGCGCAGAAAGTGCTCCTGTTGTTGCACCTCATGTTGAACTCGACGGCTGTCCTTCGCGTGCCACGTGCCAGCTCCCGCACACCTCCCGCCCGCGGTTGCCGCTGCGCGCGGTGACGCTTCCTTCCTATCTATCTATTCACTGACGCGATAAATCTAGGGTACATGGTGGCAACCTGCTGAGTATTACGTTACCTGTCACATGGTCAGAATCGCACGTCCCGAAACATGGTTACTGATTGCATGGACTAGACTACATGTGGCAGGTCATGATCGGTCGGCGATCCCCCCCATAATCCCACTACATTAGTCCCGCCAATATCTACTGCTGTAACCACGCGAAGATAGAGGTTTGTGTCATGAACAGCAGCATTGGCAGGAAAAGACTCAACTTTTCCACTCCTATGCAAGAAGGAACGAGACAAATACCAGCAATATCTTTCTTGTCAAGTGTACCGAACACCTCGTCCTCTCGGCTGCTGTGCCCCCCTAACATCCGCGCACGTAAATACTGTAGGGGCTTCGACCCGGACGGGGCGGATCGACTACAGCTGCTGGACGCGGTGATGCAGCTCCTGGACTACGAGTACGCCACCGGAGAGGACCTCCGCGAGATGGAGTACATCCCGGACGACGGCTCGGCGGCGGCGGCGGCGGAAACGGCGGCCGCCGACCTCGAAGCGGCCGCAGCCAACGCCGCCGCCGCTGCCCTAGCCGCGGAGGCGGAAGCAGCCGCCTTGGCGGCTGCTGCGGGGACCAGGGGGGAAGAAGGGCTGGAGGAGGAGCACGGGGCGGCGGGGAGAGAAGACGGGGACGCTGATTCGCCCGCGGGTGTCGAATCGGGGGGGGTGGGCAATGACGAGGAGGAAGCGTCTGATGATGCGATCGCCCGAGAGGTGATAGAGGAGTGCACCTCCTCTTCCGTCACCTCTTCCTGTCCCGTGGGCGGGCGTGGGGAGGAGGTAGCAGCTTACGGCGAGAGCACGCTGCTCGGGTACGCGCACGGCCTAGCCACGGAGGTGCTCCGCACGATGCGCAGGGACCTGAACTCCTTGGTAGGGATGCTGCCCGAACCGTTGGAGAGGCCGGTCCGGGAGGCGGCTGCGTTCGTAGGGAACACGGCCACGAGGTTCGTGGGGCCGGCGGTGCAGAAGGCGGAGCGGTACACGCGAGGGCTGCGGCGGGGGGCCGGGAAGACCGCAGGGAAGGCCGTGATGGCGCTGAAGGACGAGGTGCTGCCGAGGGTGTGGACGGGGGTCAGCCGCGCGGCGTCGAACGCGAAGCGGCGGGTGGAAGACGCCATAGCAGCCCGGAAAGAGAGGAGCGAGCAGAGACGCGAGCAGCAGGAGCAGGAAGACGGTAGAGCACAACGCGATTGATGCTGGAGTATGTCAGAGAATGTGGTGTGCGATTAGGGAGTGTGCCGGTGGGGGTGTACTGTGTTTGGGCGCGAGGTCAGCGGGCTCGTATCAACGGCGTCTTGTTTGTGGTCGGGTTAGGATATTTGTAAGCATCAGCGTTTGCGCTGGCGGAGATGGAGCGGTGAGGAGATTTGAGACTACCCATGCCAAAACTGCCCACCGCTGTGCCGACTCGCACTTGGTGCGGCGGTACTTCCGATGAGGCTAAAGGGGCGAGAGTTGGAGCGGAATGAGCCATTGTCTTATTGAGACTCTTGGATGTGTGCTTGGCGTTCCTTGCAAGCGTTTGGTCTCGATGACTACGTTCCGGCGCACTTGGGGCGTGGGTCTGCGGCAATACCAAGCTTGAGCGACTGCTGTGGGTTCAAACCACGACCTACCTCGTTGCTGTCACGTCGCCAGACGACGCGAGGGGCTGCCTCGGGGGTGCTGCCTCATGGGTCTTCAACGATCGATCATATACTTGTGCCCAAGCAGGAACGGTAGCCAAAAGAAGTAGTACTGCTTTGTTTGTCCGCTCATTTCCTTGGCTGCAGGAAAGGAGAGTGTTCCGCCGTCGGGGTGTTGAGTGGCCTGCTGTTTTTGCGCCTTCCTGTGGAGCACATGTGAAAGACCCCGCGTTGCTTATCGTTCATTTCTCAGCTCCATGAGCCTCGTCGGATGCCGATTGAATCCTCGCCGTTCCTGGTGAACGCAGACGACACATGAAGTTTGTTGTCCGTGCGGTGTTACCCGTGCCTCTTGCTTCGGTAACGGGTTTTTGGCCGTACCCTTCTCTTGCCCGAGATCGAGCGTTGTTCAAACACACAAGCTCCGGAGGCGAAAAAATGACGGCTTCTCGATTTCATTGGCTCAGGCATCGCAGAGGATATCAACTCGTGGTCATGGTTGTGACTACGGGTTCAGATTTGGTTCGGTTCTCCTGATCAAGTTCACGCTGTTGTGTTCTCACAGACCTCTCCAAAACGAGACAATTTACTTGCCAAGCTCACAAGTACACTGACCCTACTAAATGAGCCGTATACACGTTGGACCGTGAACAGTCCCGTGGGCCAAGAGTTCAAATAAATCGGGTTCCGCGACAACATTGGAACACTTGATTGTCGGTGATGGGAGACTTCCTCTCGAAGACGCCCACATGACTTCCACGGATGCGGATCGCCCGCCCCCCGCCCTACATTGGTACTAGCATCCCATATCGTCCAAGGCTCACAAGAGCAGCGTGGTCGAGAGTACTAAGCTGTGACCATTGAATTTGCACAACCATCACGATGCTGCCTGGACCCGCTTTGCCGAACTCCGCGACCAGAACAGCGGGAGAGGAAGGCCCGCTGAGGAAACCGCTAAACAGGCCACGCCCCCCCCTGAAGAGTGAGGCACACCCCTCCCCCCTCCCGCTCGCTGAGCAAGCGAACCCCGGTGATGGTGTTCGCGAGCAAGCCGGCAAGAGCGCTCAGATCGCCTCCCTCTTTCAAAACAATCTGCAATACAGGCACAGGAGTTACAGGAGGATATACAAGCAGCGTACGTATCAGGGACAATGGGGCACGTTACGTACGTACTCTCTCCCTTGACTTCAAACGTATTGCGACAGTGCGGTCCTACTGCTCCCTCCCTTGGGCTCCGACTACGAAGATAGCGGACCGCCTGCTCCAGCACGGCGTCGACCTGCATCGCCCTCCATGCACTACAGTAAGTCCCTGCTTCTCTCTTGCACCCTCCCGGATAAATGCATGATGCACTTCCGACCACAGGACAGATGTGCGGATGCAGGACGCTTCCACGGCTCGCCGGCATTTGTTTCGGCTCGATCCGGGATTCACCAAACATCACATCGGTATCCGGTACACGAGAGGGCGGGAATCAATTCCTTTTGAAATAGGTGCTAGGGTATGCACCAGCCACGAACAACAATTAGTAGCATTGCTGGTGTTGAAATGGAGTAGGCCTCTCGACAAGGATGTTTTTACAGCCGGTTGAAAATTATCAAAGGGCACTGCGAATGAAAGAGGCATCTAACTCGATTGTTCTCTCCCCCCCCTGCTCCTGATTCCTCACTCACTGCTACGGCGAACTCAACGTGGTTTGTCACTTTGCAGCCCGGGGGGGGGGGGGGGGGGGGGGGGGGGGNGGGGGGGGGGGGGGGGGGGGGGGGGGGGGGGGGGGGGGGGGGGGGGGGGGGGGGGGGGGGGGGGGGGGGGGGGCGAGTGTATCGACGGAAATCATGCACCAGCTTTATCGTCGCGAAAAAGTAGATGTAAACCGATCAAGGCTGTCACCGCCATATTTCCGGGTTTGTAGCGTTCTGACGATTCTCGCCGGCATCACACCGCACCTGTCGTGTTTGCCCCTCAGACTCGGTGATACCCCTTTTGGCCGCTAGAGCCACCGCTGCCGCACTCAAGACGCGGGTTTCCGCCAAGCCACGTTCACGGATTACCTCGAGCTGGTTCCAGAGGCAGCGGCATATCGCCACCACCGCAACAGCAGAGAAAAAAAATGGCATGGAATACGACACCAGCGGCAACACCAACGGCAACACCAGCATCGGCAGACACAGCGGCAACAGCGACGGTTAGTCAGAGCATAAGACGAACAAATACAACGCACGCATGCACAAGAAAGGCGCCCGACGAGGTCCGAAAACTCGGAGAAAGTGACATCGAACCATGAGGAGTTAAGGGTGGTCCAACACGCGAATGCAACCACGTCTACGATTCTTGAGCATACTCCCGAGCGAGAAAGCAAATGTATTTTCGGCTTCCCCCATAGACAAGGACCGTGGAATCATGAGTGGAAACGGGCGTCGAGAAGCTTGTCTAAACGAACTCGCCACCTTGGGTGAGGCTCCAAGCTACGCGTGTGACGGACAGCTCTACACGGGCCTGTCGCCCTTGCGGTAAGCAAGTGAGAGTGACGCCGTAACCCCCGCACCTGCCCCCTGAACGTATTTTGTCTCGCACCCCTTTGTCGGAAGGTATCGATACCCCGTCATGACCGAGTTGACGAAGTCTTGCCAAGAATCCCGGAAAAAAATACTGTGGTGCTAAGATTTCCCCCAAACCCGTTGCCTTCGCGTAGAGAAATCGCGCGTCAAAACCTACTCGACCGGGGGAGGGGGGCGCAATACTACCCTCCCTGCAAACAACTGCGATATGTTTTTCATGTGTTTCACAGGGTTCCATTTCTTCAACGTCAGTGACGAAGTACAGACCTTACGCTGCAACTAAAAAATGACCCTACATCCTATATATATTTCCGGCGGTGGCACGACACCAAAGCCCGTCCGTCGCGTTTCCAGCAAGCACCTTTATCGGTTCCCCACCGTCCAGGCACACGGTTCGTCTCCCGAGGCGGCCCTTGAAGGCGGCCAGGCGATGCTCGGGGATCTGCCGAGGCAAGAGCGCTGTGATGCTTGGGTCGACGCATCTGGCCACAGCCTGTTTGTTTATTGGGAACGTCGTGAGAAACGGGAGGAACGGGGCTCACATGACATGCACGTCGAGAAGAGAGGAAGTTTGCCCAGCGTGCGAGACGTGGGTGTCTGTGGCGCACGTCGATGTGAACCAGTGGCGACGATGGGAGGCCCTACGCCACGATGCTTGACTCTTGAAAAAGTTTTGTTTCCGAGGCAAAGATTATCCAAAGCAACAAAACATCGTGCAGATACACTGCTTGGATTCCGAAAGCAACATCATGTGTTGGTCGGATGCTTCTCGCGTTCACAGGGTGGAACATCTCAAAGACAAAAGGAGAGGTGGGTACCTGTTCCGTCGTCGAGGTACTCCTACTCGAATCAGCCCCCAAAGCCTCGCCTCACCCTCAGAAAGTCACCGCTCTTGTGATCTTCTTACAGGGTGTGGACCAACAGAATCCTCTTCGGCTATCTCTTATGGGTGGCGTCGATAGAGATCACCACCCCACCTTGCCTGCTTCCTCAAAAACCTCCCGACATACCCCCCCCCTTCACTACACGCACAAGTGATGGTAAGGGTCACCTCGAGCGTTTCCATGGCTGCCGTGACGACGGGCCACAAGCGAGAACCGAAGAGAACCGTGAACCCATCTTCGAGGACACTCTTCCAAACGTCAAGCCCCATGGTGCCAGCTCTTCCCTGCTGCTTGTTGGGGGGACGGCAGGGAGGTCAATGATAGGTTGAAAAATCGATCAAAGCCCCGCAAGCAACCCTGGCTTGGCAAACGTGCCGGGGGGGACTACAGGTGAGGATCTCACAACACGGTACTCGTGCAACAGACTTCAAGCAAGGCGGTTGCTCGCGGTAGGCCCGGCTGATCGCACGCATGTTGATTGAAAAACCAGACGAGGGTATGTCATGCACGCAACTGAAGGAACACACGGTCCAACAAAAACAAATCAACAGACATACGTATGTGAGTTCATGTAGTCGTGTGCATATTTGAATTGCTGGTTTTGGGGAAGACAAAGATAGAGCAGTAAATGGAAGGGCAGCGTGAACATAAGCGCGTTTGCGTTCGTCTTGTGCCCCGAGACGCACTTGAGCAGGATTTTCATTGCACCGGCGCCAAAATGCGTGGACCAACCGCGTCCACGGCTGACCGCACCATACGTCGAAAGCTCTCGACGACATATTGCCAATTCTACTCGCTACGAAGACTGCCCTACGACCGTGGTATTATCTCAAAAGGGCAGTCTTTCTGTGATTGTACGATTATTTTCTAAAAACCACTTAATGGCTCTGGGAATTGGCAAAGCCCTTGAATGTGGAGCAGCCGAGCCATTAAATATAAACAAACGATCGCACGTCTGTCGTAAGCGTTCGCCTACACTTTTTTCGCTCCTAAGGATCGCGGTATATATCTACCTTCGATGGGAGCGGCTGACGCTGCCCCACTGACGACAAGCCCTCCGCGAGAGCCAGCATCGCTTCCCCGCCAACTCTGCCATCTACCGCCTCCCTCGCCACCAGGGCGCACAGCTGCGGCAGCCTGTCGGGGTCCTCCCTCGCTACTAGCCTGGCGGGAAATAGAAAAAAACACCACAAAGATCGGTGAGCGTCAAGCGAGAACGCAGAGGCAAGGGCTGCGGCAGCCTGTTGGGGTTTGCCCTCGCCATTAGCTTGGCGGGAACGCCGTAAAGATCGGTGAGCAACCAGCCAGACCTCGCAGGCAACGGCTGCGGCAGTCTACTGAACGTTTGCTGTGTCGCCATCAGCTCGCTGAAGAAGGTTACAGCAGTCCCAGCGAAAAACAGAATGGTACACATCGTGATGAAATAGAGAAAAAAAATCACAAGAAGGAGACCCGCCACAACACAAACGCTTGAACATCATCGTCGCAGAGCGAATCACCACCCCGGCGGGGAACGGTGCGGGGACCGGTTCCCGGACAGACACAAACTTCACCACCGCTACGCAACCCGTGGGAGAACACGCGCTCGCCTAGTGATGGCCGAGAGGGCCCGCTCCGACAGTGCCCCAGACAGCCCCGATGACGCAAGGAGGCCTCCCAGCTCTCCCGCCACCTCTCGCGCGGCCGCATCCACACACACCCTTGCCCCTCCTCGGCCCGTGTCGACCTCTTGCTGCGGGCGTGCCGCCAGGAACCTCGCTCCCGCTACCAAGTTTTCTTCTTCCTCCCGTTGCCGGAGGCTGCTACCGGGCGAGGGCTCCCCCCCGACTCCTCTTGCTGCCTCGCTGCGAAGCAAGTCGGCCGTCGTCGCCGACGTCCTAGCAAAGGAGACGCTTGCGACAGCTAGCTCTTTGTCATCCTCGCTGCCTCCGTGTACCCCAGAAAACGATCTGCACGAAGGCAGCGCCCGGAGGAGATCCAGGGCGCACGCACCGCCGCCACTGCCTCCGCCGCCGCCGCCGCCGCCGCCGCTTGCCCTAATGCTACTGTCGCCGCTGCTATCCCCGTCTAGCTGTTCTCCACGTAGCCGAGACAGGCAGGCTTGGAAGAGGCCGGCACGGGCGCGGGGGAGGAGCAGGGGAGCGGCGGCGGAGGCGGTAGGGCCGCCAGCGGGGCTGCCGCTGTCGGTCGGCGGAGCACCGGTGGTCGTGGCGACGCAGACGGCGGCGAGAGCGCGGCCGAGGCGACGGCGGCAACGGGGAGAGACTCGCGGGTCCAGCGCCGCGTTGGCTAGGCTCTGGATGCAGACTTCCTGGGCGGCGGGGTCGCACCTGCCGAGAAACACTGGAAACCCGGGGGGGGGGGGGGGGGGGGGGGGGGGGGGGGGGGGGGGGGCGGTAGGTGCGGAGATCAAGGTGATCAAGGTGGCAATCAGGTGGCGAATCGCGGAAATCGGAGAAGGATAACTTCAGGTAGGGGGTGACACGGGCGGGTGAGCTGAGAAGATGAGGGCGGAAGATGCTAGGCACGCACGCTGACGGATATTTATTTAGCGAAAAAACACTCGGGGGATCCCGTTCACCGCGAATACGCGTCGTGCAGATGGCATTTTTTACACGAGCGATACAAACGCGCGCTACAAATGAGCATCTGCCGTTGGGGGGGG